TATCTCTAATATCCATGGCCCCTCATCGCCACGCTAGCCCAAGCTCCTAACATTAAGCCTCAGCGTTCCTGCAATATCATTCCACGAGGTTTTCAGCTAACTCCCTTGTCTTTCTCCAACCTATTTTTCCCATTAGAACCAATATTATTAATGGGAGCATCAAACTGATCATGTCACTCTTAATTTAAAATATCTTCCAGAACTTTTACAATCGAAACGAACCTTTAACACAGCCTCAAACCCTGTGTGGTCCGACTCCCACTCCCTTCTCTTCTCACCCATCTAGCCTAATAGCCCATTGTCGGCCTTTTCATTCTGGCTAAGTGCCCTCTTGCCATGGGCTACTTGCAGATGCCAAGTCCTCTAACCAGAATGTCCCTCCACCCTTACTGTACATAGGTAATTCTTGTGCTTTCTCCTTAGGAACTAAGGGCAACCACCACATCCTAGTAGTTCTCTAACTAGGTCACACCTCTCAACTTCAGGCTTTCTTTAGTACCATTCACATCTTTCTAGAACTTATCACAATTATAACATCACCTTTATGTATGGCACTTTGTTAGTGCTTTCCCCATCTCTCTAACACCCATTTGACAATGAATTCAAAGGCAGCGGGACATTATTTTCTCTTTCCAAGACCATATTGCTTGGGTTCAAACCCTACCTTACTTATTTGGTGACTTTGGGCAAGTGATTTGTGCTTTCATTCTTCAATTTTCTCATTGAAAATTAAGGCCTATACTAGTACCTACCTTATTGGGTTGGTTTATTAAATTTATATGTAGAATGCTTAGCATAGAGCTTGTTAAATGTTAATATTATTATTATTACATTATTATTATTTTGCACATTGCTTCACATTGCACAATAACTAGTCATGCTAGAATAGTGGCCCCTAATCCCAGGAACCTGTGAATATGTTACCATACATGGCAGAAGGGACTGTGTGGATTAATCAAGGTTACCGACCTTCGGTTAGGGAGGTTATTTTGCATTATCCACTTGGACCCAATCTAATCACAAGTCTCTAAAAGCAAAGGAGGATTAGGGAAATCATGTGGAGGAAGGAGAGAGTTTCAGAGCATAAAAGGAACTTAACCTTCCATTTCTGGCTTTGAAGATGGAGGAATCACACCGTGAGCCAAGGAATGCAGGTGGCTGCTAGAAGCTGGGGACAGCCTTCAGATGATACCCAGCAAGAAAGTGGGACCGTAGCCCTACAAGAGCAAGGATTCCATCTACAGCTTAAATGAGCAGAAAATGGATTCTCCCTAGAACCTCCAGAAAGGAACTCAATCTGCTGACATCTTAATTTTAGTGTATGAGATCATACCAGTCTTCTGACCTACAGAACTGGATGATAAACTTTGTTAGTTGAAGCCACCGAGTTTGTGGTGATTTGTTATGACAGCAATTGAAAACTAATACACAGGCACATCATTGGTGCTTGATAATAGAATAAAAATAAACAATTTTTCCACTTGCACTGGAAAACTGGAAACAAAATATTTTACGTGTTACTGTATTCAGTTCTCACAGGTAATGTGTGAATTTGATGTTAATTTTTCCATTTTTGAGAAAAACAATTTGTTAAAGGTCACCCAGTTTTTTTGCCTGGCTTGCCTGAAATTTTCCTGACATGGATGAAATTTTCCTCAACTATACTACATCTCTACTCACCAAAAGAATTAATTTTATTTATATACAATTGAATTTACAAATCATTATGTATCTACATCGTTTCCTGGGAAATCTAGAATCCTCCAGCTTCGCAGTATGAAGGAAAATATATCCTGTAAAAGTAATATATGATGCAAGCTAAACACAACTTATGTAACAACAATAACTAAATTCATTAAACACATACTATGTGGCTGGTACTATTGTAAACACTTTATGTATGTTAATTCATTTAGCCGAGATATCAGCATGATGGCAATTACTCCAATTAACTTCCCATTGTCATTTGTTGCTTACGGAAGTTTGGGGTTTTTATTTCAGATTTATATAGCCATGTTAAGCTAAACCTCCAATATTATTAATTATGGCAGTAGAATTTGTCAAATATTTATATCGTTATTATATTTCTCAGTTCAGCAACTTAAAATACATAATAAAAAGCCAATAAACTTTTTCATATCTTGTTTTTCTCTTTGAGAATTATGGCTTTAAAAAACACATTAGATTTGAATAATAAAATATGTTTAGACGACAACAGATGTCTATGGAAGAGATACGCCCCCCAGATGCTAAGACTCCCTGGAGAGACATTTAATTTCTAAATGTTTAATCACAATTTAAGGTGTTAATTGGAACAGCCAAGAATTCTTTCAGGCAAAAGAATTTTTCATTATCTGATCTTAGATATTAAAATGGAAATTAAATAGAATAGAAATCAAACACATAATTTTGTGGCTATGCATTCAAAACTATACCAAGTTATAAAAGTTATTTTAATACTTTCATACTGCCATCACTTGATTTTGATATTTCTAACATATTATTGATAAACTTGGAGTAATTATTTTAAAAAAATTTGAGAAAGGTTATTTCCAGATGTGTAAACACAGACAACCAGCCTAAAAGTCTTCCCATCTCATTGAAAGAGAAAACCAGAGTTACCAACATTAACTATCAAAAAAGGGCCCTTTACCTAAAATATTTTCTGCCAATATTCTTTCTCCCAATTACTCTACATTGAGTAACACTCAATTTCTCTCCATTTTCCATCCCTGTTTCCTTTGCCTAACCCAACTGTCCGCCTCTTCTCTACCTGATGAAGGGCATAACTCAGAGAAAGACAAATAATGACGATCTCATTTATATGTGGAATGTACAAAATGACAACAAATCGTCCTAGTGCAGAGAAAAAGGGGTCAGATTGGTGGTTGCCAGTGCCGTGGTGAAGGGGGAGGGAGAATTGGAGGAAAGTGGTCAAAATTGCACAAACTTCCAATTATAAGAAAAATAAGTACTAATGAAATATGGTATGAAGTTCTTCAAAAAATTAAAAATAGACATTCAATAGGACCCAATAATTCTATTCTGAGACTATATCCAAAAGAAACAAAGACACTAAACTGAGGAGATATCTGATAATGTACAACATAATGTCTATAATTAACACTGTTGTGATATATATGCATATATATATGAGTAATAATCACAAGGAAAAATATATATACATATAATTTTTTTGTATTTACGTGAGGAGATAGATGTTAACTTATTGTGGTCATTATTTCATATATATAAGATAAATCATTATGCTGTACAAGCCTAACCTTAAACAGTACTGTATGTCAATTATATCTCAATAAAATGCAAAAAAATGTTTATCTTTGATATTTCAAACTTCACAAATAAGAGCAGACACTGGGCTGGGAATTTCCTGGTTCTGGAAAATTGCCACCATTATTTCTTTGATAATTTCCTCCCCAACATTTTCTCTGATCTTTTTTTCTGAAATTCTCATTAGGTGGATGTTTGACTGCCTGAATTAATAAGAAAATTCTTATTGTTTTAATATATCAGCCACATCTTTTTATGTCCATCTAGCTAGTAGAAATACTAGATGTTTTCTAGCATCTCCTAACATGATTTAGAGCTTATATTTTTAATTTCAAGTAGTGCAGTCTGGTTTTTCTAAGTATTCCTTTTATATAAAATACTCTTAATAGCTTATTAAAGAAATTCTTTTCTCCTTCAGTAGATATTAATTACATGACTTAAATTTTTTTCATCTCTTCTTTCTCTTTTTTCCCCCACTGTTATTTTCTACTATTTACTTGATGCGATGTTTTTCAGAATAGGCACCTGTCTAATGTGCCATGGACTAAAGAGCACATTGATTGAAAGTTCTGTGTTGTGGTAGGTGAAGCTTTTAGACCAGTCCTAATTACAGGGTGACTGTGTAACCATCTGGTCTTGTTACAGGGGATATATACACACAAATATCAACTTCTATAACTATTTTCTGTAGAAATTAATCTCCAAAGAAGAATCCCTCCTGTACCCTTTGGAAGGTTGAGGTTACAGGGGAATGGAGATACTCAAAACATGTAACAACTGGTAAAACCAGAGAGCTGGAGCAGAGTTTGCTGCTGTGCCCACTGCTAACCCTTTAGTTGCCAGGGGCAGGAAAGGGGTCATGCCGGCAAGGTGGGAGAAATTAGGCCTTATCAGTGTACTTCAGATGAATAACCAGGGGAGAGAGTGTAAATAAACATGACTGTTGGAATTCTGGAGATGGGTGGAAGAAATGGTCCAGGGCTTCCCATTCAGTATGCAGACCTAATGCCCCTTTTATCAGCATGGCTTCTACGTGCCTATCCTCTGTTCCTGATATGTAGAGTCTTTCATGCTCTGCTCCTCAGAAAATAAATCTCCAGTAGCCTGTGGAAGTGGGAGAAGAGATTGATAACTGCATGGGTTGGAGGGTGGGGTCATAACCACTCCTCATACAGATTTTCACATCCTCATACTCCTAGGGTAAACTATCTTACTTCTGGTCAGAACATTCATTGCTATCAACACTAAGATTAATTACTACAGGAATTCATATTTAACTCTCCTCACCTCTGTCTTCACATATTATAGTGCAAATTTATAGATATCAACCTTTTCTATTAGAATAGATTTTGTGTGTGTGTGCTGCTTCGCACTCTCCTTATTGTTTGGGATGATTTTCAAGAAAATAGTTAAACAGAAACTACTCTATTTCACTGTTTTGAAAAGGGTACAACCCAATCTGGGCATGCTAAACAGGCCATCACAGCACATTTCTCTCTTTACCTGGCACTAAAATTTGTAACGTACATATCTTATTTCTACTATCGGACCTCAGGCATCCTCAGAAGAGGCTACCTGCATGTCCTTCAGGGCCTAACGCAGGGCTTTTATGTATCAATACCATATTATCAATATGTATTTGTGAAATGAATAAATGAAAACAATAGTAGGGAAGCAAACAATATCATTTTTCTCTTTTTTTTGAGCTTTTATATTTTGAGTTTATTCTTCATTTAACTTTTAAAACACTACTATAGTTGAATATTAAAACAAAAACAATAGCAAGTAGTGAGCATATTATGATTATAGTCCTTCACTCATTCACTACTGTATATAAAATGCCAGCAGTGAGTGTCATTCACTGGCCTCATTAAGAGGTCTGACACTGAACCCCACCTCTAAGATGATGTTCATCATCCTCATATGCTTCTCCATTGTCATGGCGTCGTCTTTCTTGATTTGGATCAAAGTCCACCAGTTCTACCTGGTCCATTTCATCAGTCTCTTCTACTTCTTTCCTTTCAGGTAGGAGTTTTTCCAGCAAAGAGAGTTTATCAGGAGAGAGAAAGCCATTCTCAGGAAAATTTACCTTGAATTCGATGATTAGGCGACCGTTTTCATACGGTCTACGATAAATTGGCATGCCTTCATTTAGCACACACTTGATGTCTCCATGCTTGACAATCTGACCTGGATGAGAGGTGATGACTATGGTTCGGTTGTCAAGAGTAGCTATTGGCTTTTGGAAGTCACACAATGCTTCGACCAGCTGTATGTCCATACACATGAAAAGGTCTTCTCCTCGCCGAGTGAAAACAGTATGGTCCTTCTGATCTAAAACAATGAAAATATCTCCGGGCTCTAGTCCTGGTTCTTGGTCTCCTTCACCATGGAATGTTATCTTCTGGCCATCTTTCATACCTTTGTCAATATGAACTTCTAGAATCTTCTTCTCTCGAACTATTTTCCTTCCATTGCAGCTTTTGCATCTGTCTTTAGGACTGACCCGTTCCCCATGGCCCTGGCATTCCACGCACACAGACTGAATTTGCTGAACCATTCCAGGTCCTATCTGATGAATTCTTATTTGCATCCCAGTGCCTCGGCAATTGGGACAGCACTCTACTGCTCCTTTCTTACCACCTCGGCCTTCACATTTGTCACAAATCACATTCTTTTGCAGAGCTAGTTTTCTTGTTGCACCACTATATAAATCTTCTAAGGTTACTGAGAGCTGATGTACAACATTTTTACCTCTCCCTTCCCTCTGCATCCTTCCTCCTCCTCCAAAAAACATATCAAAGATGTCCATGGGAGAGCCAAAACCGCCACGTGCTCTACCTTCTTTAATTGCCTGTTCTCCTCCTTTATCATATAAGTCCCTTTTCTTTGCATCAGAGAGCACTTGGTAAGCTTGAGAAATCTGTTTAAACTTCTCTCCTTCATTCGGATTCTTATCAGGGTGGTACTTCAAGGCCAGCTTCCTGTAAGCCTTTTTCAATTCCTCCCGGGTGGCATTGGGTTTGACCCCCAAAACATCATAGTAAGTGGTTTCTTTCACAATTTTTGACAGCCGGTCAGCGGGCCGAGGCAGGCGTGGAGGAGCGGGAAAGAGCGCGTTACTGTGCGCAGCACCGAAAACCGCCGCTCCCCCGCTTCTCACCGAGTGTTCTGGAAAATTCCTCATTTTTCTCTTAATCTTGTTGAGCAAATTTTTTTTCTGTGGAGTATATCAGCTTGACTGTTTCAAGTTTTCTGGAATTGACTTCAGAAACATTTAACAAATACTTAACTTGGTTCTAACATGGGAAAACAAAAAATAATAGTAAAGAGACCAAACAGAACAAACAAAAGCACAATCAATGTCCTAAAGGAATTTATGATCCTTTAGGAGTATAAGGGTCATAATAAAATAACTAGAGAAGACTAAAAAACAATATTTAATGAAAAGTTATATATTTTACGATATAAATGCAAAAGTACAGGGGTCACTCAGCTCTAGGATTCTGAAACATTCAGAGTTTCAGTTTTCTCTCTTTATTATAGATCCAGCTCCTTTGCAAAATAATTTTAACACTTTTCAGAATCAGTCCATCCACTTACATTTCCCAATGAGGATATTTAGGAATTCAGTTTCCTAAAGAAACCAAAATGCCATTTTTGGGGCAGTGGCTCTTCACTCCTTGGAACAATCATTATCATCCAGTTGGCATCTTTATTAAATTTCCTAATTTATGCCTTTACAAATGCTTCCTGCTAGTCCAAATGACTCTGAGTTACCTTTGTCAATAAATTAATAAACCATGTCTGTAACTCAGAAATTCTCTGCAGGTGTTTATTAATGGCAAGCCATTTGCCAAAGAGCCAAAAATTAGTATTGGAAGACTTGTTCTCCTAAAGTTTTGAGAAATTTACTGTGTTTGTTTCTAAGGTTCCTTCCAGATCTAGGTTTCTGTGATTAGACAAATACACACACACACACAGATGTCTTCATAAACCATCAAATTTGGTTTAATATTTATTAAATTGCCATCTCAATGACGAATACATGAATGATCATCTACTACTGAAATATTTGAATTCTTTGTAATCATTTCAATATTAGCAGCACCATCTATATTGAATGTGCCTGATATTAAAATAAAATATATCGTTATTGAAATAGAGTGATGATTTACAGACAGATCATAAATGTGGACAGATGAGCAGTAAGACAAGTGGATTAAATCTTAATGAGTAAGAGTATGGCCTCTGGAAGAGAGACCTGGATTTGATATCAACATGTTACTTGCTAAGCATGTAATGTTAGACAAATAACTTGTTTCTAAGCTTTAATATCCCCATCTGTAAAGTGGGCATGATAATTAAAATACCTCCAAAAGGTGCTGTATTAAATGAGATATGCATATTAAGTACATAATTAGGGCACAAAGTAAGTGCTCAGTAAAGGTTAAATCCTTAAATTTAATCAAAAATATCAAATATTTCATCCTGACTGGTGTGGTTCAGTGGGTCAGGTGTCATGCTGCAAACTGAAAGGTCCCCAGTTCAATTCTTGGTCTGAACACATCCCTGGGTTACCGGCCAGGTCTCCAGTTGGGTGCGTGCCAGAGGCAACCAATCGATGTTTATCTCACACATTGATGTTTCTCTCCCTTTCTTTCTCCCTTCCACTCCTTATCCTCTCTCTAAAAAAGTAATAAATAAAATCTTTTAAAAAAATCAAGTGTTCCAAAATGCAAATCTTTATGAAAATGCATGTTGCTTAGGGGACAGGTGATACGCTTATTCTTCCAGACCTCTGAAGAAAAGTGATGGTAGGCTGACAAATATTTTCATCAGATATATAAAGTGGCCTAGCTACTGTAATATAATCTACTGTCACTTTTCCAGTAATTCTATTTTTTACCAATTCCAAAGTCATTCTGCACCATTCCCTCAAGCCTTCATAAAGTTTTTTTTTATGAAAACTTTATCTCCTGCCCTATCTTAACTACACAATTCCTATATATCTTTCAAGAACCAGCTTCACTACTTCCTCCTCTATGAACCCTTCACATCACCTAAAAAGCAGGGTTGCTCACTTTCCATTTTATTCCACCAAAACACTTGTAGACGCCTTGCACTACTATAACTCTATTTCACATTTATTTGTTCATATGTCAATCCCCCCAGCCAGGCTGCAAGCTGGTTGGAAGTAGGTATTAAGTCATATTTATCTCTGCACCACTAATACATAGCATAGAGCCTAACATCAAATAAGAAATAAGGAAATATTGAATTAATGACTGAACAAAATATATTATAAAATGACTCATAATTTCATAGATTAAATCTGTTTTAGAGAAGATGTATGGTACTATGATAAAAATCACTAAGCAGATATAAGAATAAGTGCAATTTTATGTGACAGAAAATCTCAAACAACAATGGTTTAAAGAAGTTAGAAGTGTTTCTCTCTCTTACGATAGAAGTCCAGGGTTAGGCAGTCAAGTCCCAATATGGCAGCTCTACAGTCATCGTCATCGGGACCCCAGTTCCTTCAAGCTCTCATCTATATCATCCCTGTGATATAACTCATCTTTATGGTTTCAAATGGAAGTTAGTGCACCAGCAACCACTTTGATATGTCATCATATTTCAGCTGAGGAATGGAAAATGAGGATGAAGGGCAAATATCTCTTATGATGATATCTTAGAAATACTACATGGCACTTAAACTTATTGGGGTTAGAACTTAGTGACATGAGCGCCTGTCCTAAAAGGTTCATCATTCTGGGTTGTATCATGAAAGATAAAAATCAGTGAATCTATAGTAGGAGCATTCAGCAGACTCTTCCACCAAAACTATCAGATATCAACTCAATGCTTCTCTGACTGTTTATTGCAGCATGAAGAGCTTGGACCAGGAGTTCTCCAAGATCCCTTGCAATTCTTTCCTATTTATTTATTATTGTGAAAATAATTGAGTTTTGGATGGTTAAAACCAAACCTATCATTTTTTAATTATTTTAATCTTCAAAATCTGTATTTCAAAGGGTTCTACCATCAAAAGAGAAAGGAAATATGGAAAAGAGTGAAGGGTATTTTAGAAGAAAATATATTTTAGAAGAATGTTTAAAGATAGTTTCTCAAAGTTAATGATATGACTAAGCCAGTGTTGATAACAATGAGTATTTTGGGAATCAATACCTTCATTTTTTCCATCAATCTCCCCAAGACCCCCAAATTAAAATAACATATTAGTGATATAAACTGAGGTCTCCTCAATCCTGTGCTAAAGATGATTAAAAATACCTTTAGATATTTACTATGTTTGTTCATCTGTAACATATTAAAGTAGTCTGCTTGTGCAACAAATGCAACTTCAGAACAAGCCTGCAGCATTCCCGCAACTCCACCACAGCCACGGCTCCTGCTCTTGGCAGCCCGGGTCCCTCTCCCCATACACACTCTGGGAGCACCACGGACTTGTGTGTCCCCACAGGCTTTGCCCAAATTATTTCCTTACATAACAAAGAATTTTTATAGCTGTTATGTGCTTAAGGCTCTTGGTAATGGTTTAATCATAGTCACTTCTAGCTACTTAGAAACTGTTGTCAATCCAACACTGAAAAGACTCTTACTATCACCAAATATAAACACTGGTCCAAAACATCGATCTGGGTGTCTCTGTGAAGCCACAGAAAACAATCAGCTGAGAAAGGACAAGGCAGTGCACTCTTTGAGCTAATATTTTATATATGCTGCTGCCAATCTTCTGCAAAAAAGTGAACCCATGTGAGACTTGTTATTTCAGTCTTGTTTTATTGACTTGCCTGGTATCCTCATTCCACAGCAATCCGATTAGATTTCTAAATGTCTAAAGTCCTGTCATATGAATATACATCAAAAAATTTTAAACTACTTACATAATTAATATGCCTCCTCTAGAATTAGTTTTTTCCATCATCCAATTTTGACTAGTTTTAAGAAATATTTCAAAGTGCCATTCTGATAAATAATAAATAATATTATAATCTGATAAATAATATTCTGGTAAGTAATATTCTGGGGCAGAACTCAGATTGAAGAAGGCACATTCCTTCAGTCAAATATTTACCAGTTAACTGAGCCTCAGTGTCATGGTTCATGGAAACTGCAAGACCATTATTATCCCCAAAAGAGAAGAGGGGTCATTAAATGACCCACTTCATGCCTCAAAAATGGTTTGTGCCTGAATTGGGGTAAAACAGCCCAAAGGCCTTGTGTTCTCCTTAGTGTTTTGACAGCAAGACAGTTTTGAGTTTGATTCTAATGCTACTATAATGAAAAGTAAAAAGAAAGATTATACTTACTAAATGTCAAGTTATAATGGAACCAATTGTCCCCACTGTCCCTGCGAGGGTGTCGCCATGCATTCTCCTAGCATTTGGGAACAAGTACTTCATGCCACCGTCCTCCAGTGTGCTTTCTTTTATAGTCAGAGGAAAGCTCAATCACTACAACTTTCATTATCCCCAAGTTCTCACAAACCTCTTTCCAGGCCACAGTCTTGTCCAAAATATTGCATTCCCCATAGAAAATCATTCATAAGATTTCTAAAATCTACTGAATCAAATCAAAATTTTTCATTCATTATACCCATTTTTTTATACTTTGGGTGTTCAGTACATAGGTAATACAGATATACCTCGTTTTATTGTGCTCCACAAATGTTGCACTTTTTTACAAAAAGATCACAACTCCCTTTATTGCTATATTCACTTCATGGCAGGGGTCTGGAACCGATATATTGGAGGCAATATCTCCAACATATGCCTGTAAATAGATTATATCAAATGTACTCTAAATGCATTGCTGATATCTAAAAAAGAAAATTTCCCAAAAGACAGAAATAGCAAAGACCGAAAAGTAGGGAGCCGAAATAAGAACAATAAGTGATCTCAGGAGCTAGGACTATCTTGGAACAACATTGATGCTGGAAATGAGAGCTCTAGGGATTTATTGTTTATAAGAAAACAGAAAACTAGACCTGGGTTTGCCAAAATGTTTACATATGTGAGAGAAAGATGCTAAATCTGAGACCAGCACCTACAGGCAACACCCCGAAAGGCACCACGTTAAGGGTAGAAAAGGTCCACCTGCCTGCTATAATGGGAAACCGGTTTATCTCTGCTAACACTATGTGTGGAAAATGGCAGCAAA